GACATTTGGAATGGACTATTTATACGGCATCAGCATCGTAACAAACCTGACGGTTCAGACAACACATTAATTCAATAACTGAAATATTCTTTTTCTTGACGATACGTCTCTTTAACGTTCAGTGTTTATTATGGCAAAAACTGGTTTTCTCATTCTCAGTAAAATGTGTTCGGGTGTAAAAGTGGTCTTGGTGCGTTCAGCATGCTATTTCAGTAAGATAGCACTCTAAAGTGGACATCGGATCCGCGCTATCGTGAGGAGGCAAACATGACACAAAATGAGGAACGTCCTTAGCTGGTAAGAAGACGATACACAAATTAAATGAAAATAAACACTAATGCTATTACTCTTATTATTTAAGGATCCTCTAAATACAAACTTGACGTGAACAATGTTAGTTATTACTTCAGTATACAGTTATTTAAACAAGAATAAATACAATGAGCGCTTATTCAGAAAGGTGAGATTGCTTAAAAACCTTAATTCTTTTGTAGACGTCAATGAAGTTGTATTCATGCAAACAAGTATTGAACACTTGTTATTTATCCTATTTCATGTTATGAACAGTATTATGTGTCTGGGATATAGAACAGTTATATATCATATGGAAGTAATAAAAAATGATTTTATTTTGAGAACAGATAAGATAACAAGCAAGCCAAAGTCTGTCTCAAAGCTTCGACACAAGTTCCTTATCATGTTTTCTGCATCTTTATCGTCGGCTGATAGATGTTGTTTATGTATCTGGACAGTCAGTAAAACAAACAAGCAGCTCTTATCAGTGTACGAAGAAATATACGACAAGCATGACGATGATAAATGAGGAACCGGGGAAGGTATTATGTAATGTTTAATCCCAATGCATATTGTACGCTGGCTTTGGCTCCTGCAATATCTCCTCTTTGAGCTTTACTGCGGGACTGTAAAAAGGCAACATCATATCAGAGTAAAAGTCACTTTGTGGCAGTGATATCGCAATTCTTACTACAAAGTATAATGAATATTGTAAATTGTCTGTTAGCTGAAATACATACACACACATATATATATATATACATCATTTTATCTTAAGATCACCGTGAAGAATGCGAAGTGCTTTTCAAAAAGCGTATTTGTATATTGTCCGGTTCCAGTGCCTACACTTAGTGTGACGTATGTCTAGGTAAGGATGATGTAAAGGAATGTGATTTTATATAATAAAACGTGTGAATATATGCATTCATGTGCGCACATATTATTTTCCGGCACGTCCATCCTGGACCTCGTCTGGTTAAGCTGGACTTAATTTACATTTCCAGCTGGTCATTATCGTCCATACGATAGTTGTCCTCGAACATGATACCCAATCATAAAACTTAATATATATGGTTCAAGTAACATTTTATTGACCGATACCATGTTAGCTTATAATATTGCATTTGTAACCTTTAATAATGTGTTCAATCTAAGCAATATAAACCTATTAACATGTCAACATTTATAACAAGAGGCCCATGGGCCTTAACGGTCACCTGAGTTCTGATATATTTGTACAGAGAGTTGATTTTTGTTTTTAAAACATGAACAGAAATATTATTCAAAGTGACAATAAACAATAAAACCACCTTATTCAATATCTAGCATACAGATTTAAGACTGAAAAGTATCTGAAACTAGCAACTCTGATTCTAAACAAGGAAAATGAAGAAATTTTAGCACACTGACTCCTTTGGGCCCTGCCCTACAGCCCTTGGATAATTTTTTTCTCCACGGTATTAAACTGTCAACTCAGGGGTATAATTCCAATCAAGTTATCAACATGTAATATCCAAAGTATCATTTGCCAATATAAACCATAATAAATGTTGCCCCCCCCCCGCCCAAGGGTAAACGTGAGACCCTAGGGTCATCACATTTTTGGGAGAGCACCCAAAACCCTTCCATCTATGAAGAGTATTCTATTTTACCATATCTGGGTCTTGAGAAGTAGGTTTTGAGATTTCAGTCAATTTGACCAGTTTTGACCATCATCCCCTGGGGGCCAGTCAGGGCTGATATGCTGATATGTGCATACCATCAAACTGCTATCCGAAAAGTTATGCTGACCAAAATTGAATTACTTCCAATGGAAATTAAACAAACGTTGGTCCAAAATGTGAATCCCTATATAAACTATAATAAAGTTTACCCCCCTCCGCAAGGGGAAACATGAGAACCTAGAGTCAAGAAATTCACAATTTTGGAAAGCACTTTAAGACCCTTCCATCTATGAAGAGTATTTGATTCTACAAAATCTGGGTCTTGAGAAGAAGATTTTTGAAATTCCATCAATTTGACCCTTTTTGGCCCCACTCATCAGCCCCTGGGGGTCAGTCAGGGCTGATATATGCATACCATCAAACTAATATCCAATACTGATAACGCTAACCCAAATTGAATTACTTCCAATGAAAATTAAACAAATGTTGTTCCAAAATGTTATTTCCCTACATAGACTATAGTAAAGTTTACCCCCTCCCAATGGGGAAACGTGAGACCCCCAGGGTCATGAAATTCACAATTTTGATAAAGTACTATAGACCCTTTCATCTATGAAGAGTATTTGATTCTACCATATCTGGGTCTTGAGAAGAAGGTTTTTGAAATTTCAGACAATTTGACCGTTTTTTGCCCCACCCGTCAGCCCCTGGGGGTCAGTCAGGGCTGATTTGTGCATACATTAAACTGTTATCCAATACTGATAATGCTAACCCAAATTGAATTACTTCCAATGGAAATTAAACAAAGTTTGGTCAAAAAAGGGATTTCTCTATATAAACTATAGTAAAATTTAACCCTTCCCCAGGGGAAAATGTGAGACCCCAGGGTCATGGAATTCACAATTGTGGTAAAGCACTATAGATCCTTCAATCTATGAAGAATATTTGATTCTACCATATCTGGGTCTTGAGATGAAGATTTTTGAATTTTCAGTCAATTTGACCCTTCTTGGCTCCACCCCTCAGCCCCTAGGGTCAGTAAGGGCTGATATGTGCATACCATCCAACTGCTATCCAATTCCGATAATGCTATCCGACGACGCACGACGCAGGACAAAAGGCATCGAATTACCATGTTTTCAAATTATAAATAAAACATGTTGCATTAGGTAGCTTTGGGACGAAAATAGGTATAGAAACGTTACTCACCTCGCAAGATGAAACGATTGCACTCATTCCAAAAGGCCAGCAACAGAACAGACAGGCAAAGAGAAAATGGAAGCTGATTAATATATCTATGCATAACATAATCATGCGGCATAGATTCTGTTTGAGTCTATATGATAACTATAATTAAATTATTATTTAAATTTACGTCAAAATACGTGGTAAATAAATCCATCAGTATGGTGTGGAGGTGTGGTGGTGTGTTATACTAAAAAATATTCGACCTTGACTATGGAATGATAAACAAAAGTACATCGGATATGCGGTATTGGTTTAACAATGAAACCAACGTAACTCTGAAAATGTATATCTTCCAACGAAAGTTTACGTTGTTGACAATTACATGACCAGAAGCCAACGTCCAGTGTGGTCAGTTTTATCTCTTGGGAAAGCTAGTGATAAATACAGCTACGGCCGAAATAGCGCAATATCCGGGCCTTTCAGTGTGGGGTTAGCATGTATAGCAGCATGCTGTCGATCGACAACAGAATGTCAGTGAATCTGATTTCACATATAGCACATGTATGTCGCTTTGAATTAATATAACACATCGCAAGCGAGAACTATAGGTATCATGACATATAAATCTAATCAGATATTTTTGTTCACTGTTAGATTTGAATAACATGAAAAAGGTGTATTTTGAATATGCGCATAAGTAGGATACTTATGGAGAGTTTTAAACAGCACGAAGTACTGTACAATATGAGCAGCAAAACAAATTATTCATTTATAACGATGATTGATATGTTAATTGGAAAATACTAAGGATTCAGAATAAACGCTTATTCTTGTATTCAAAAGAAATTAAGTGAATAACGCGAGACTTTACCTTTCCATCTCGGCTGGAGAGACATATTTGTCAGTTTGAAGTTCACCAACATATGCTGCTAAAACGTATGGTCGTTAATTGTACCTTTAGGTGCTGTTTAACTGACGTTACATCTCGCAAAAAGCAAAACGTATAATTCATATTATAAAACAACCAGAGAACAACGAAGTGTTAACAGTCAAATTCGAACTAGAAACGGTTATAACTAAGGTTTGGATTAGACTGGTTTAATCTTGTATAACGTCCTATTAACATATAATGTTATTTAAGGACGTGCCTCCATGTGTATCCTGCAAGTGTACATGTGTGTATGTGTGTAATATAGATACTTATTTACTCTTATAGACTCTTATTTTAAGAGAACAAATGATATGTGTTCCGGAAGAGTACTTATATTCACGGCTTGTTCGCATCATATATTGGTCAACTTTAACCTGTTGTTAGTGAAAATGTCAAGTTGTTGCCAATAAGAAACAAAGGTGTTCACAACACATCAATCGTGTTGCAATCAATTTCAGACTCGGATGTACTGCTATCATATTATCTACATTGATGGAAAGATCTTCGGGGGTTTATCTAAAATACAGATTTCATTAGCCCCCGGTCATCTGTTCTCTTTGGAAGGGGGTAATATTTACTTAAGTTTATCTAGAGAAATAACATTTTTGGGTATATTTTTTCTTTCAAACTTGATGGGAATAATTATAATGACAAGACAATTAAATGGTATGAGAAAATATTTTTCTGCCTCGCCCCAGGGGCCAGACGGGTGGGGCAAAATTGGGTGAATAGCACAGCACATTCGATGCAATATTACCTAATTTTCTTAAGGGATTTCATCATTTTGGTCCCTTAAAACATTGTCAAAGCCTTCAGACAAAAACATAACCTACCGGCAAATTATAACGGCATTTGGCTAATCACGAAGGTGAAACATAGATATTAAATTTAACTATAAAAACGGGGTTTTAAAGTTGACATACCTGTATGTGTCAATGGCTGGCTATAGGGTGATGGATAACCACTGGCCCCTACTACAAAAGAAAAGCTGTTATTTTTACCTATATATAGAATTGTTAACAAATGAAATGAAACCATTCTTAATCAAAAAGAATGCGGAATTGTTATTAAGTTAGTTTACTTATCAATACCATTTAAATTAGAAGGTTGTCTTATCTCATTCTTTAATAACACATACCTAGTGGGAATATTTGAGGCTCGTCATCCTGATCAAAGCCTTTATATTGTTGTGAACTCATTGCAATGTTGCCTGTAACAGACAGCGTTTATAAGAAAACGACCCTTGTACAGAGCTCGAGGGCAGCAGCAGGGAAAACTGGGAAAAAGACGAGACACTCAACCAGCCCTATTGCCACAGAGACAAATCAACAGCAGTTTTGTTTCAAAATCCCAACAGCTAGGGAAGTGGAAATGGAGCTGAAAAAAACTAATGGAGGAGAAACTAATGGTGGAGGAACAGTCCCCTTCTATACACAGCAGTCTGTAACACCACAGCCCCCTCAGTCCGACTCATTTGACCTATACAGGAAGTTGTCACACCTGGGCATTCTTTGGAAGAGAATCCTACGTCAACAAGCAAAGGTAGCGTTTCCAGACCATTAGACTGCAATGTCGATTCCTAAACAAAATCCCAAATCTGGACAGCCCAATTTGTTGACCTCGCATCATTGATATTTGAATCCAGGCCTTATGTAGTTGACATGCATGTTTTTGTTGGGAAAATTGATTTAATGCCCAGATCTAAATCATTCAAGATCATTCATTGAAAAGTGGAATGAATCTTTTCGTATCTTTACTGCAGTCTATTGTACTACGTTTCCTTCCCTAACTCCACTCCTCTTGAAATGCTGTAGTAACCCTGGCAACACAGAAAGGTGATTGGCAGTTCTATTATACCAACTTCCGGAGGCGGAAGCTAATGGAATCTTCATTGGGGGGAGTTAAACACTGAGCTGTATACATAAGCCCTTACCAGAAACATAGGGAAAAATGAAGGTACTTTTCGGAATAGTCAACCGACCAATTCTTCAACCAACGTTAACCCCTCCAGTAAAATCTGATATCAGTATAATAACAAAGGGGTCTGTTCTAGGTCTGGGTGACCACACAAGAGTGACAAATGTGGAGCAGATCATCCAAAAAAGTGATGCCACAAAAGAGAGGATGTGGCAAACAGAGAATCAACCAGTAATAACCACAACAACCAACATTCTAAATAGTAATCAGTTTAAAGTTAAGCCGTCTCCAGATATCATTACTCCTATTAAGGTTTCGGAGTTTGCAAATGGTTGATAGGATAAACACAGAATTTACTTGAAGGCTTTAGTTTGGGTTTCTCACTCCATTATCAGGGGCCCAGGGGTTTTCGGGATGCATCAAATCTTCTATCAGCTAGAGATTAACCCTAAATTTTTAATTTCAAAAGCACAGATATAGCAAGAGGTGGGGCATCTATCTCATGCAGTTCATTTGTAGGCATTGAACTATATTTAACTTTGTTCCAGGCTTGCTTACCTTTCGACGAGATAGAAAAAAAATAGGGGGAGTATCAGAATGTTTCACTATGTTCTTGAATTACATATGGGATGAATCTAAGCAACTTCTGGGGTAATTGGCCTAGGATGTTTAATGATTCATACCTAGGATTATTATGGTAATTCACTCCTGGGGTAATTTTCCTACGATGTTTAATGACTCATACCTAGGATTGTTATGGTAACTCATTATTGGGATAATCGGCCTCAGGGTGTTTAAAGACTCCTACCTGTGATTATTATGGTAAATCACTCCTGGGGTAATCGGCCTCAGAGTGATGCAACCGTTGATAATTTGTTGTTAAATGTTGACGTCGTTCAGAGTGAATAAACGACATTTTCACTCATTGCAGTGTTTCTGTTATCTATCATTCACTTCCCTTTGCCACGAACTGAGCATATTTTGGGATTTAACAAGGAAGTTTTTTTTTATTTCACTCATTGCAGTGTTTCTGTTATCTTCCATTCACTTCCTTTTGCCACGAATAGAGCATATTTTGGGATTTAACAAGGAAGGTTTTCTTATCTTACTCATCGTAATGTTTCTGTTATCTTTCATTCACTTCCCTTTGCCACGAAAAGAGCATACTTTGGGATTTAACAAGGAAGGTTTTCTTATCTCATTCTTTTAAAACACATACCTGATGGCATTTTGCCACGAACAGAGCAGTTTTGGGATTTAACATAAAAGGATTTCTATTCTCTATCTTTTAAAACACATACCTGGTGGGAATATTTGAGGTTCGTAATCCTGATCAAAGCCGTCATATTGTCGTGAACTCATTGAGATTTTGTCTAGAACAAACAGCGTTTATAAAAAAACAATTACAAGTAAGAGATTCAGACATTATATAATATATATAGTGTGCATATACATTACATATATAGAGTAAAATACCTAGTATACATAATAAATTAGAAGTTACAGGTATCATCAGATTTACAAAAACTTATCTTACGTAACAGAGGCAGCTACACGTCCTGTCTAGATCAAATAAGCATAGTTGTGAATTTGTCTTTACTCAATTCTCGATTACAAACGTTACTTCCTGTTTGTTCGGGTATCATGCACACAATGAAGTCCTACTTTGAAAGTTTGGCCTTCAAACACTTGACGCAGGCGACACAATCAAATAAAAGCAGTGCTGTACCAATTATAATATTTAGTCAAAACATTTGGTTTCAACATGAAACTTTATTGTGAAAGGGAGATTTTGCTTTGTTAATTTAAACATTTATCTCGTTATTGCCAATATGTATAGAAACAATTAAGTTTATGAATGTAGACCATCAAATATACTTACCGCAAATCTGTGTCTTGAAAACTTTTTCTTTTTGTCTATATACTTCCTCGTTCCGTCTGTGCCACGTCGACACTTGTCCTCATATGACCCTGGCTTTGTCGAGGACTTTACCTTGACAAATCAATAACACGTAACTGTCTAGAAATGGGGCCTGTTATCACCCGTTAGTGAAAAAAACAGAACTGTGTCGTCGGCGTATTAAAATTCGTCGTCTTATTAATGTAAATTATGTAAGGGTCGTTAGCAGCAGATATAATTTAACAGAGCAGTGACACAAATCTGATGCATGTATAAATGTGTAAAACAAATAACAGATTTGCTGTGTTAATGCATTTAACATTAAAAATAATGAAACTAATATATCTCCCTTTTATATACTCATTTGCGTTCAGCGATCTCTCCCTAGGCACCGTTCTATTGTCATCTAAACTGTCGCACTGACGCTATATCCAAGAAAAAGCAAAACATTTTTATGTTAAAACAACAACATAAGAACCCCCTGCATAATTGGATATATATGTTTGTGTCCTCTACTTGGGGAAACAAAAGCGACCAAAATCTTTATAATTCTCATTTTTTTTTCTATTCTGACATTAAATCATACGACTTTCTTTTATCTTATTTAGAAATAAAGTTGAAATGTAAGGACTTTCAATCTTTTTAATCTTTTTGTTCTGATGGTTTGAAAGATGATCAAAAGGCCACCTTAGCCATGGTTGCAAATTTACCACACTTGGATGTCGGTTTGTTTGTTTGTTTCTGTTTTACGTCCTATTACCAGCTATGGTCATTTTAGGACGTGCCAGGTTTTTGTGGTGGAGGAAAGCCGGAGTTCCCGGAGAAAAACCACCGACCTACAAATGTACGACCAGTACCTGGCAATTACCATACTTAGGCTTCGGAACCCGCGACCCAGTGTTGGAGGGCTAGTGGTAGCAGAATGTCTGACGCTTTAACCACTTGGCCACCGCGGCCCCCGACCAAATAATGCATCGATATTTTCAGAGGAAGACCTTGATATCTACCCCACTCTTTAACACATTAACTTCAATGATGTACCAAGTCAGTGATCTATCCTGACTCCATATCTGTTCTACAGAGCCTTTGCAACGAAAGTTTGAAGAATATATCAATCAGTAAAATACTTACATTGTTTCATAGTATTAACTCAAAATGTCAAATTATAGTATGCTGCATTCACTCACTTATGGGAATACCAAGCAATGAAAAGGCAGATCGGGCCGCCAACGCGGTTTTTTTTATACACCTGTTGATTTTAAACCTCCTTTTACAGATCTTAAACGTTATTAACAAATGTCGCAGTATAGAAATAAAATGTAGCTATACAGAGATTTTAAAATTTAACTTACCTTTATGTGGCATTGACTGGCTGTAGGGTGGCGAATTACCACTTGCCCTTCCGACAAAAGAAGAAGGACTATTTTATACCTATATAAAGAAAAGAAAACAAATACAATTAAACCACTTCTAAAAATGAAACTGGGTCATATTTCTTAAGGCATCCGTTTGTTTGGTGAATTAATTAGCTTTTCAATGCGTGAATACTAGCCACAATGCATACAGTAGACATTTACAGTTTCGTTCGCCTTTGATTTTTTTTGTTTAAAGTCCTATCAACAGCTAAGGTATTTTATGAACGTGCCTCAATGTGTGTTGTGTACGCTTGCTTGTGTAAAGCCGACTTTATAGTGCTATTTCACTGACATACAATGTACCATGCCACAGACTCCCAACACAACATTCCGCCCGGTCACAATATACTGACAACATGTGAACCAGTTGTTGCCGTTACCCTTAATGCTGAACGTTAAGAAGGAAATAACAACTACCATTTCTAAGGACTTTGGTATGTCAAGGCCTGGGGATAGAACCAATTGCCTTTCTTACATGGGTGAACCCTCAATATTAAACGTGAGGTATTGCTAAGCAATGATCTATGAAATGAAAGGAATTTGGAAGTAGAGAGAAATATCAAGATCCCAATTATTGCAATTGATGCAGCAGATTTGTGTTTGTCGCTTTTGTGTCCTCAAGTAGAGGGCACAACAGCAAATCCCTTATTTTGCAGGGGGTTCCCACATTAATTACGATGCATGTTTATGAGAGTAATATATTGTTTGTTTAAAAGAAAACTGAAAACCCGTTATATTAATTCGAAAATTTTGTTCAAAGTGCATCATTATTTCTTAAAAATTCTTATATTAAGATAATCATAATTATAACATGTTGGACTATTTACAAGTAGGCACTTCATATGTTCGGCATATGGTTGGGTGGCAAAGAGTAAACTGTTAAAGTGATATGGTTATCAGTTCGATTACAGTAAATTTAACGTAATCCAAACTCGTTAATTATTTTCATCACACAATTATAAGCCCAACATATTGTTAACGTTGTTGTTGAATGTAAAATGTTGCTTGTTTAACTATGGAATACGGATATTAACATTATTGTGACGTGATTGTAGTTGACATATCACATTTTATCAGCCATAACATTAAATCCGCTACCGTTGGTAAAACGTGAATCTTTTTACAACGTATAGGATTTGATATATATCAGTATATAATTATTATGATAAGTACATTTGGGTACATTCCCTCGTGCATGATTATATTTATATTCCAGTAATCACACATTATATTAATTAGTAACTATGCTAATTCATGTTGTAATCCATCCATTATGTATTAAAAATTGATTGAGATAATATAGACAGCTGTACACATGTGTATGCATATACAGTATAAAGTAAACTTCCTCGTAAATAGTGTAGATAAGTTATACTGTTTAAGCTGTCATATTCCTAATGTATGCTAAATATACGTTTAACTTCACACATATAATATTAATTGAAAAGTTCTTTCATAATATCATGATTCATTTGGTACTGCTACTAAAAAGGGTGGGTTAATACACCGACTACTATGTATGAATAACTTTAGGCATGCATGTACCAAGGTATCAGAATGGTCTTTACTATCATGATACATAGCAAGATATACATTTTAATTAGGTTAAAAAGAAATTAATAAGATAATACATGGACAGGTATTTGTTGGTGTGGTAGCTGGTGACAGTAATAAGGAAGTGATATACATTTTGTATATGCATCACTGGTTTAAGTTTCACAATTCAGTCTAACGTTGTAAATAGACTGCAGACATATATGTAACACATTTATTATTAAATAATTATGGTAGAAAGTTTGGGAGTCAGATCATGAGATATAGCTAGCATACCGGATCACGATATAGCTGCTGTCCAGTATAAGACTAAATCTTATCGTAGTGCATATTGTTCCCGGTAAGAAGAGGACTGGTGGTTACGTCTTCCGAAGATGTTTTGTTGCTGATTCCGAGGATGTGGGGGTCTCACGGCTGTTGACAATCTGGGAGGAGGGTCTGGATAATTAGAAAGTTCTGACAGCTTGGTGATTGAGGCTTTAGAGCTACTACGATTCCTGATGATAATTCTGCCATCCTGTGTCCAAGCACTGTTGAATGTTCCTATGGACTTGAGATACCTGGCTTTGGCGTACACAGTCGATCTCAGTTTGGTCAGGGCCTCGTTGAGGTAGAAGGGAGGTTGGTCTTCAATTTTGTTACGTCGGCAAAAGAGATGCTGGGATTTGTGTGACTGTCAGACCGAGAAAATAGTACAAACCTTGCATCATAGACTTGGGCCCGGGTGGAGTACGAGATGAGTCTCAATATAATGTCACTATTAAAGCTATACAGTGAAATCCCTATTATTCGTATCAAGTTAGAAGTTATGGGTATCATCAGATTTAGAATAACTTACCTTATGTAACAGAGGGAGCTACAAGTCCTGTCTAGATCAAATAAGCGTAGTTGTGAATTTACCTTTACACGATTCGCAGTAACTGCCGGTTTGTTTGCATGACTACACACACTTTTGGCTATCAAACACTTTAATTGATTATGATATATAGTTATAACAACTAGTTGCAAAATGAAATTTTTATTTTAAAAGGGAGATTTTACTTTGTTAGATAAAACATTTATTCCCTATTGCCAATACGTACATGTGAGTGTATACCGCTAATATAGCGAAACAAAGATATCCGGCTTTTTGAAATTTGTCATCTGTTAGTGTAAATATTGCAATGTTCGTTAATGTATTAATTTCTAAGAGCATTAACACAAGTCTGATACATGTCTAGATGTGTAAAGCTGTTTTGAGACAGAAATCCTCAGCAGCAGAAACCGGTAGCTTAACTTATATAAACGGCACGATGTGTATCATTAAAAAAGTAATAGTAGTTTTCAGGCGACACTCGTCGTTATGCAAAGATTTACCCCCAAGCATGTTCATTCAAAAATTTGCAGAATATATACACCCCTAACGATAAGATTGGATGATAATTGAGATACAACGAGAAACAATCAATTACTAACAAAACATAAGACTCGATGGTGTCTCCCTAGGCTCTTGTCAATTACCTAAACTGTTGCGTGAGAATGTTTTACCACAAACAAATAAACAATAAAGATCTGAACCTTTTTTAGTCGTAAATCATCAGGAGGAACTCCTGCTGTTGTGTATTGAACATGGACATTTTGGAGTTTGACAGTTAATTTTGGTATCTCTATTCTCAGGAAAGATTATAGGGATCTTTATCAAATTTCACGAAGGTTTCTCTTTATCCCAGGATAGGTATACCATTTGTTGGAGTTATGAAAAGATGTACGACAGGCAGCCATCTTAAATTTTGAGAGTAAAAGTTTGTTAATGCTTTTTCTCGGAAAGTCCACAATACTTCTTTCTTTAATTGCACATGAATGTTCACGTTGATCCTTAATTACATATATGTTTAAATACCGATTTCGGTGACCTGATGTAAAAATTTAAAAAGGCCGACAGGCTGCCATCTAGAAATGTGATATGCAGGTTCCCTTTGTTCTACAGCTGTGCATGTTTACATTTTGACTGGGGAAAACATGGCCGACACGAAGCAACCTCAGGACCGATTCTTGTAGGTGACAACCGAGTCATAATAAACATGATACCGATATTTATATAACCAGGAAGAAATTACTGAACGTGGTACACCGATTAGAGAACGGCTGTTGTTAGATTTGACCTTAAATCGACTGTTTGCATGTTCTACCTCTTTAGAAAAAGTCGTTAAATGTCCTTCAGTCCTAAAAAGGTATATAATTAGGCAGAACACAATTATATGAGATCGTGAGCTTGTTGTTTTCTTTACTGCATGTTATCGTAAGAGACAATTAATGAGATATTTGCTTAAAGGAAATTAATTAAAAAAAAAAGAAATGATGTTTTGCCTCAATTATAGCACTCGGTATTTTAAAAGTTTAGTGGTAGGAATTCCATCCATAACTTTGTAAAGATAATGACTAAATGT